AGCTGTGTGTGACCTGAGCAAGAACCATCTACTTTGCTGCTTGTCACCTTGAACAAAAGTATAGCCACTTCATGTTGTTGTCCAATTCCATCACTGCTTTTCCAGGAGGACTTGATACAAGGCTGTCAAACCACCCACTCTTCTTACCCACCCCCATCCAGGGCAGACATTACCAATCAATTACTGCTCCCTTCTCCAGGGAGCCCAGATAAGCCCCAAATCCTCGTCAAAGCTCTGGACTGGTCATAGGATGTCATCCATACACCATGGCTGAAAAGTTAGCCAATGAGATGAGGAAAGAACAGAACACTTACTAGGGCCCTTCACGGTTACACCAAGCTCTCCACTTCCAGCTGCTTTAGTGTCCACCTTGAAATCTGCAGTCTCCCGGATCCGGACGCCTTTGGGCTGTAGGCCTCGGCCGCTGGCCCGGCAGGCATTTGGATTGCAGGCTGCAAGCACAATTTTGACACTAGCTCAACCTTTCAATAGTTGGTAAAAGACGAGAAAGTTAAGGTAACTTTGGGCCTCCCGCCAAGAAAATGTTTGCTTTGCACAAAGAGTAATGGGCAGTTGCCCTAGCGGGGGTCCTACTCAGGAAACACACTAGCTAGCAAATGACACAGCATGACTTTGTTCAGCCACACCACACAAGGGCTGGGTAAAAGTTTTTCTGGCAACATAAACAGGAGAGAACAGTGATTCCACACTGTGTTCAGGGAACTGGCTTTTTTTATCCTTTTATTTGTGGGCGGCATTAAGGATTGAGTGCTGAACATTATTCAGACCTCACTGCCACTCTCAAGGCCCCAGTAATTGGGAAGACTATACTTTTTCAAGTCTTATTTGGAAAATGCAGTGCTTGAAATATCTTGTCTGGGCTCCAAAGCCTGGGTCAGGCATTTCTAAAGGTATAAACATGGCTGTTGTCTTCCACGTAAAAAGCCAGGCCAAACAGCAAGGAGCTGAAAAAGTGCCCTCAGCCAAGGCTGGCTCTGACAAGGCCCTCAGAATCTGGGCAGCAGCAAAGACAGTCTCAGCAGGAAACACCATTCCTGACTCGAACTCTGGTTTCCTTTAAGAACCACAAGTTTTAAGTCTAAAATTAAGGACCACGGCAGCTTCTGATACTCTTCACATGAAAGGTCTGCAAAACTACTCTTCCATGGCATTAGGAAGGAGGTTTATAAAAGATGTATTTGTGCCCTAGGAATTCTTGGCCCAGCATGGACAAGGTCTCCTTAAGTAGACATGGAAAATTAATGGTCAAAATGGCCTGCAGTCTATGAAATAGCATATCCTCTCCAAATCTCACACTGCACACTTGACAAGGGCTCTGGGAGCAGAGATTCTGAAGCAAAGAAAAGCAGTTCCTCATCTGACACGCCCTCCCTGCTGGCTACATGGCAAACAATTATTTCCTGGAGGGGCGCATCAACAGCCTTGCAGTTAAAGCCCACATTAGATGGTTCATCGATCAATATAGCCTATGGTGGCACTTAGCAACACTGGTTTTCTATTGTGAAAAATACATAAGCCCTAAGTATATATGGATGTATTGCAGTACTGAAGCTTGAACTCGGGACTTCATACATTCTAGGCAACTAACTGCACTGCCACTGAGTCCTCTTTTAGTTTTTATCTTGACAAAGAGTCTCACTAAGTTGGCTGGAGCCCAGGCAGGCCTTAAGCTTGCGACTCTCCTGCCCCAGTCTTCCAAGTAGCTGAGCTTACAGGCCTATACCACCAGGCCTGGCTAAAGCATCTTTTACTCTGAAATCATTATCGTGGAGGGTAGTAAATCAAAAGAAAAGTTCTATTAATTCTATAAATTCTGCATATTGTAAGTAACAAATGTGCCAGAAATGAAAAAGACAGCCCATGAAGGAGAACAGATTAGGAAGCATTAGAATTAGGAAAACTATTCCAAACTGTTTCTTTCCTTATGTCAAAGTAGTTTTGATAATGAATATTTTGGGGGTTTTGTTTTTTCTTTGTCAAAGGGAGAAAAGTTGGTCACATGAGAAATAAGTCACAACAGGATGACAGGACTTCTCTTGCAGGATTTAAATGTGTCTTAAAACACATACACACACTCAAGGAAAGACTGAGCATGTGTGTGAACATCAAAGGATAACTGTTCATTTCATATACACACTCGGCCAGCTTGGCCAAGTCCACTGCCATCCTACAGAGCCTTCCATAGGCTGGGATCTGTCTGCAAAAGCTATAATAATTCCTGCACAGGAATTTCCTGAGGTCACAAACAGCACATTCCCAGATGACGTTTGTAAGAACGCACAAAGAACTGGCAAACATGCCTCACCCAACTAGCCCTTACCAAAGCAAGAGCCTCTGGCCCAGAGCTTGCAAATAGGAAGCCAACAGCTTCAGGGTCCAGGCTGGCCCAAAGGCAGGATTCAGATGCAGCAGCCAGGTCTGCTGGTGCAGATGTGGAAGACAGAACAGGGAGAGGCAAGTACTGGTTAGAAAAGGCAGCACAGTTGGAAAACAATAATAAAAAAGAGTGGCAAAGTCAGAAGGAGAGAGTCTAATATTAGAAAAAAAGGGATGCTCCTGGTTGCAGAGGGATTCAGGAGTGGTTAAGGGCATGGTCAACGGACAATGCAGTTCTGAGGCTTCACAGTGAGAACGATGTCACCAAAGCCTCAGTGTCTCTGCCTGCAACTGGGATGTACTCACATCTGAAACACACAGGCTGCTGGGATGGTTTAATGGACCTGAGTCGAGTACCTGGCAGCCCGTAAAGGCCAAGCAATGTGGGCTACAGGGCATCTGGTGCTGCCACAACCTGTGCTACACACTCGATCTAAAATGTTCCCCAAAGGCACAAGTGTTGAAGAGGTGGGGCCTAGTGGAAGGAAGTCAGGTCACTGGAGGCCTGCCCAGGAAAGGAATACTGGGATCTCAGCCCCTTTCTGCCTCTTTGTTGGCTTCCTGGCTGCTGTGAAGTAAGCAGTTCCTGCATCATGCACTACCACCAATGTACTACACCACCACAGCCCCAGAGGAAAACAGGCTCATGTGATCATGGCCTATGACCTTAGAAACACTGAGCCAAATAATGACATTTCCTATTTGATCATCTCAGACATTTTGACAGAGAGAGAAAAGCTGAGAAACACAACTTGGATTAGTACTGTTATCTTGAGGGCAAAGTAAGCTACTTCCTGTAGAAGGGGGGTCTTGGCAGAAAGGGATGGGGTGAGCCCAGTGTGAGACATTGACCATATTCATGATCTTAGTGCTCTGCCCCACAGTCTCCAAGCCAGAAGCAGGTATAGTTACCCAGCACTCACCTTCCCCAACCTGTACACCAAAGGGACTCTTGGGAATGGCATCCCCAGCAAAGGAGATCTTGACCACATGGGGACCGGGCTGCACTGGTTTGTATACGCATCGATACACCTGGTTTCCTTTGTCTTCCACGAGCAGCTCCACAGTGTTCTTGCCCTGGGGATCTTCCACCTCAACATTAATGTCACCCACACCAGCTCCTATGAAAGAAGCAACCTTCCATGAACACACATTCCCCCTTTCAGGAAGTTTGCTGCCAACCAATGCCAAGTACAAACAGAAGGACACTTGGGTAAGCCATACCAACTGTTTCCTTTTTCACATTTTCTTTTTTATTTATTAATTGAAAAGAAAGCTAGCACTTCACAAAAATATGTCTTATTCATTTTTGCTACCCCTCCCCCAATCTTGCATAAAACTTGGTCTAGTAGATGACTGGAAAAACTTAATGCCTCTGGAAGGTTTAGTGCACAGAAGTTGAGTATTTATCAAACAGGACCCAAAGTGAAGATACGTAAAAATACAACTAACTCACGAGAAAAAGGTGCTTGTTCAATTTAAAAGACAAGAGTTTGAGTACTCCAAGCATTAATTTCCAAGGATTACATTTTAGACCCTGCAAGAAGGCTCCAAGGTCAAAGCCATGGAGGAGACACATTACCCGCTGTGTAGATGTCAAAATAGGTGGGCTTATTGGCAATGTTCCCTGAAACTTCCAACCCTGGGCCTTTTGCAGTGACTTTGCTGGCGTCTCCTTGGGCCTTGTCAACATTCACTTCAAACGGGCTCTTGGAAATATGCTGTCCTGCGAAGAGGACTATGACCTGCAAGTAATGAGAGATGCAATTGCTGTGGCATGGCTAATGAGCACCAACCAACTTCATGCACCCACCATCTTCTTTTCCAGCCTTATTAGAATTATACACCCAAAGACAGCTGGAACCAGGAGCTCTGGAATCCAGGTAAGTGGACAGAATGGAATTCCCACCTGGACCCATCAGACATGTGGCTATGCCCAGGATATCACACTTGACACAAATTAAGAATGCTTACTACACATCAGATGCACTTAGCCTAAGGGGAAATGAACAACCACTTATACTTGGATCTCTAGACATGGGGTTCCTATAGGAGGGCAGAAAGGGCCACTGCACTATCAGAATAAAATGCACAGTCCCATCTCACGATGAACCCTTGTGGCCCTGAGCTGCCGTGATTCTGGCTTCAAAGTAAACACTCTGAAGAGAGAGAAAACAACAAAACAAAACAAGACAAGACTGAACTGCACAGTCCCAAGATTTCAAACCTGGAGTCAGGTGTTTTCCATGGGTCAACATCATTCTCAGATAAATGGGTTTGAAATAAATTGCAATGATTTCTATTTAAAACTTAAACAACTGTTTCTTATCCTAGGCTTTTTCAAAGGAATTGGGTTTGGTTTCATGTGAACCCATACTTGGCACTCATGAACTAATTACATCATAAATTTTGTCTTTTAGGATTTCTTTTTCTTAAATTCATGATGTTTGGAGTACACGAAGAACCCTAAGATTACGGTTCTGGGTGAATTCAAGAAAGCCCAAGGTAGTAAGAACCTAGGTCTCAAAGTCTGGGCAGATTACAAGAAGACTGGCTTGTGTGTGCCATTAAAGGCTTTCTTCCAATGAAGGGCACATTCCTGGGTTACCCACACACTTTAGACCAAGCTCGTAGCTCCTGCCCTATAGAACCACCCTTGAAACTATCTCAAACAGAGCTCAGTATGATGCTGAGACAAAGGGTCTAGGGGCTACACCACTGGTATCTTCTAAGATGCAAAGTGAATGTTTTCCCTCTACTGGTGAGCTGAACCCCTCCATCCTTAGGCCTCGAGATGGGCACATACCCTAGACTACCTCAAAGAGGAAGACATAAAGAGGCATTAAGGACAGGGTCCACATTTAGTCACTACAGTATCTATGCTCTAGACGGACAGCTTCAATTTCGAAGTATCCATGTGGAATTAGGAAGAAAAAATAAGTTCAGGACGTTACAAGTAACTTCACTGTTGAAAGCAGATAGTGGAGATGTACTAGCTAATATCTTAAGTATGATTCATAGGGATTCTACATTTTTCCCAAATGAGCATAAATTTTTTTTTTTCAGGGGGGATGTTACAGAAGAAACAGGATCTGACTATGTAACCCTGGCTGGCCTGGAACTCGCTATGTAGACCAGGCTGGCCTTGAACTCACATAGATTCATCTGCCTCTGCCTCCTGAGTGCTGGGATCAAAAGCGTGTGCCACCACACCTGGCCAAGCATAAATAATTTAATAATCAGAAGTTAACCTAAGAAAGTCATTTTTGTGGGCTGGTATAGAGTATAGCTCAGTGGGACAGCATTTGCCTAGCAAGTCAGAGGCCCTGGGTTCCATGCTCAGCACTACAAAACCCATTCTTCCCCAAATCTCATTCTTCAACATGTAACAAAACAAGCCCAAAGACCAGACCATGCCATGTTCATGAGGCGTCATCTTACTTTATGTAGCCCAGTGACCTTGGGCAGATACTCCACAGAATATGTCTTATTCTTGTCGCTGTCAGGGGTCACGTGTGCCTAGAAGAGAAGTTGAGTAACAGTCACAGAAGGTACCAGGTGTAAGTAAATCATGTGTCATATCAGCCAAGACCAAGTAAGCTACCAGGTCAAGAACCCTGGTGGGACTACCTTTTGTCTCGCCACTCTTGCAGAGAGGCACCAGGAGAGAAGTAGTAACAAAAGAAACAACAAAAGCAAAACACCCAGCCCAGAGCCAGGACTCTCACTGTCTAGGGGCAGGGGAGAGAAAATGGAAAACGAAACAAGTTAACTTGCTCCTCTATTGGCTCAGTATTTATTTCAAGCTTAGGAAATGCCGGACCTAGTTATATATACCAAAAATAAAATACTGAGCAAGTTGAGCAGAGACCCTACCCCAGAGAGGAAAAACAGATGATACATCAGTGTATTTAGAATTTCAGACTGTACTAAGTTACAAGGAATAAGATCTGGACCTAAGACAGTGAGAAGAAAGAACATCATATGCAAAAGCCCAAAGAATGGTCAGTGGAGGAGAAATCACCACCATCTAACACCTAACTAATCAGTCCCTTGTCTCATATAAACTATCCTTTATCAAACACTGTGTTCTTGTGAATCAATTTCTATTACTCAAGCTCTTAGGAAAGTGGTCTTTTCTTTTTTTTCTTTTTTTTTTTGTCTTGGGGCAGGGTATCCCTGTAGTCCCAGCTGTCCTGGAACTCACTATGTAGACCAGGCTGGCCTTGAACTCACAGAGATCCACCTTCCTTGGCCTCCCAGTGCTGAGATTAAAGGCATGTGCCACCACACCAGACCAGGAAAGTGTTCTTAAACACTGTAAGCCTCAGGATTCTTTGGAGAATATTTTGGTTGAGAGCTATAATGAGGAAATGAAGGCACAGTCCCTGACCCTGTTGTATGGTCCAAAAACTCTGGGAGATGGCTGGACAGGAGAGGAACATCCCCGAACATACCTCTTCTTTGTTCCCTTCTGGGTCCTCGACAAACACCATCAGGTCTCCTTGCCCAGCGCTGATGGTGTCCACAGTGAACTTGGCTGGCTGCTTCACCATGTTTCCGGTGGGTTCAACTCCTGTCACGAGTTTACACAGCAAATTATGAGCTGGGTCACACCCTAGCAAGAACCATCACCACTATGTCCTTTTTTTTTTTTTTCCAGGGAACTGAGAGAGAGGGACACATTGCCATGGCAGGGATAATCAGACAGGTTCAAACCCTTAATTTTTTTCATGTTATTTAAATGCTATAAAAATATTCAGAGTGCTTCAGATGGGAGTCCATGCAATGGTGAAAGCTCACATAGTGGTAACCAGGGTCTGCCTTGAAAGACAGGTAAGGGGGGAGGATGGGCTGTCTTTCTTTAAAAGCTATTCTGTATTCTTGTTGAAAATGGTATTCAACTTTTTTTTTTTTTTACATTTTATTATTTTTATTTTATGTGTACGAGTGTATTGGCTACATGTAGGTAGGTGCATCCATGTCATGTAGTGCCTGTGAAGGTCAAAAAAGGACTGGATTCCTCTGGGACTGAAGTTATAGATGGTAGTTACCTGCTGCCATGTGGGTGCTGGGAATTGAACCCAGGTCCTCTGCAAGAGCAGCCAGTGCTCTTAATTACTGAGCCATCTCTCTAGTCCCCCCATTATTTTTTAAAATGTCTTATTTTTATAAATGTTTTGCTTGCATGTATGTAAGGGTAGCACATGCATGCAGTGCCCACAGAGGGAAAAAGAGGGCATCAGACCCCTTGGAACTGGAGTTATAGCCTGTTGTGAGCTGCCATGTGGGTGCTGAGAATCAAATCCTGGTCCTCTTCAAGAGCAGCAAGTGCTCTTAACTGCTCAGTCTCTCTATCCAGCCCTTGCCTGAAACACATGCCTGGTGATTCATTATATCTTTCAATTAGATTTTAAATTTTAGGGTGCCTGGAAAATTTAGACTCAAGACATAGTTTCTCTTATATGTGGAATCTAGATCTAAATATACATAATATACTTAATAAAATATTTAATATAATTATATATTAATAAATGGATTGAATATACTTAATATTTAAGATAAATGGTATGAAAGTGGAACTGAGACCTTGAGAGAAAGGAAAGGGTCTCAAGAGGGAACGAAAGAGGATAATGGGGTAAAGAAAAAACCCTGCATGCACAGACAGAACCTAAATGTTAAAAACTTCTCTGAATGACTCAGAAGTAGAAAGGGGATTCTCTGCACACAAAGGTGGAAATGGAGGACGTGAGAAGTGAAATACTCCAGACAAAGAAAGCCAAGTACTACATATCCTCTCTCCAATATGTAAGCTCAAAAGTCAACCCAAACGTAAAACAGTTACTTGACCTGGGATTAGGAAGGGGTGGGTTGGATTTACCAGTGCACAATATATGCAGATACGCAAATATTACAATGAGCCCCAATATCTACAATTAATGTTAGTATATAAATGAAGAGCTGGAGAGATGGTGGTTCAGTAGCTAGGAGCACTTCCTATTCTTCCGGAGGACCCCACTTTGGTTCCCAGTATCCACATTAGGCAGCTCACAATCACCTATAACTCCTGGGCCAGGGGATCCAACACCTCCTTCTGGTCCCCAAGGGCACCTGCACTCACATGCACATACCCACACACATAAAGATAAAAAAAAAAAATTCTTAAAAACAAAAACACACCCTATTACACTTAATAAACAAACTGCTTACCCAGCTCCCCGAGTGGTAACATGCTGTGTAAAACTGTAACACAATATTGCAACCAGAGTACCAACAATGACACGGTCAAGAGAGAACAGTCCATAACCACAAAGATCTCTCATGTTGTCCTCTTAGAGGTCCACCCACTTCCCTTCCACCCAACCTTCTTACCCCTGACAACCATTAATCTGTTCTCTATCTCTGTAATCTTACCATTTCAAAAATGTTACATAAATGAAATCATATATTATGCAACCTTATGGGCTTGGTTCTTTTCACTAAGAATTCTCTGTAGATTCATCCAGACTGCTGCCTGTACCAGCACTTGTTATTTTTCATTGATGAGTAATGTTCTATGCTATGGAACTGTTTAATCTTTTTCCCACTGAAGGACATCTGGGTTATATCCACTTGTCTATTACTTACTAAGCTGCTATAAACATTCACATAGAGGTTTTGTAAGAATGTAAGTATAAAGTAAACATAGTATTATTTTATACCTCTTTATATCTTTATCTACCTCCACTCCTGGTTCTTCACACAGAGCTCTTAAAAACCCTCGTCATGTACTAAGTGGTCATGGCACTGGAATGAACAGTTCTTGACACAGAGATCCTAAGCTTCCTGGAATTTCCTGGGTGATAAAAATTCCTGGGTGATAAAAATTTCCTGGGTGGGCTCCTCAGTTAGGACTGGTAACCAGAAAGCTAGGCTTGAGATAAGAAGGCTGGAATCTGGAAGTTTCTGGGTTGGTGGATACACTCACTTGCCCGGAGTGTGGTCCATTCCAATGGACCTCCATGAACCTCACCCTTGTAGACCTCGATTCATTCTGTAATATGCCAGGACACAGGAGCATTCCCCAAGTTCTGTGAGCTTGGCTAGCCACTGAATGAACCCAAACAAGTTACAGGAACCTCCGAACTGGAGCCAGATTAGACAAAAGTTATAAGCAACCCAAGAGCCTACTACTTAAGAACCAGTGTCTAAAGCTGGGGGCAGTTGGGGACTGAGCCCTTAACCTGCAGGTCCTCTGCAAATGCCAGGAAGACAGTTCAGAGATCAACAGATTATATAATGTCCAGCTGCTGTTCACAGAGAACTGGGTAAGTGGTCAGCGGGAAAACCCCATGCAATTTGGTGGCCAAAAATAAGGGAAGTAGAAGAGTTTCTTCTCTTAGGCTGTGACTGATACAGAAGGACAGCTGATGTTTCCTATATTATAATCCTCAGAAATGTACCAACAAGTGTAACTGCTGGCATACACAGTAGCCGGATCCTTAGTATGGTTTTTGTTGTTTTAAATGGCCAACTTGTGCTCTGGCATGGCTATACCTGTGCTTGCATTGGTAGCACATACTGGAATCCCATAGAATGGCTATACCACTTCACATTTACCCCATCAATGCAGGGTCCAGGCCCTGCTTCTCTGCATCCTTGACAGCATATGGTGTTACAATTACTTTTCATTTTAGCCATTCAGATAGGATGTAATGGCTTTAATTCACATTTCTCTGGTGCATGATGGTATACTTTAAAAAAAAAAAAAAGACAGGGTCTCACTATATGTAAAGCCCAGGATGGTTTCTAACTTGTGAACCATCATGCCTGGCTTAAACATCTTTTCCTATGTGTCTATGCATTTGTATAGTCTCTTCAGTGGACCTGTTCTTAACCTTTCCTCCATTATCTAACTGGGTTGTGCAGGTGGACACTGTTTTCAATTTGAGGTTTGTGAGCATTCTGGCTATCTAGTTTGCAAGTATTTTCTCAGTCATTAGTTCGTCTTTTCAACCTTGGAACTGTAAAAAGTTTTCCTTTTCTTTCCTCTTTAGTTTTTAAAGATAAAATCCAACCCTAGGGTATTGATATCAGCACCATCTTGGGCTCTGAGACAGTGTACAGGTGGCCCTTAGGGGAGGGCAAAGGAAACCGGGGCTGCTAAAGAATGTGCAGAAGAAATCCCCACACTATGCCCGGACTTTAAGGCATAGATTTTCAAGAGTTTTTTGATGAAGTACAACTTGTCATGTTTTCCTTCTTGTACCACACTTTTGCTGTCAATGGTTCTGTTTCATATTAAGTGATTCCGTTTGAGTGAAGTTTTGTTTGTGTTAGCTGTGATACTTAAGATCTCTCTCTCCCCCCCAACCCCATATCTGCTGCTCCAGTACTGTGTGCAGAAACGGCTCTCTAATGACTTGATTTTCTGCTTTATAATAATCAGCCATGCAGGTATTCTGTTCCATTGCATTGACTGATACCTCCATCTTCCCACCAGTGTCACTTGGTGTTGATTTCTGAAGTTGTGCTTCAAGACAGGCAAACTGTTTCCTCTCATATTAATCTGCTCTTTCAAAACTCTCCCCTGCCTTTGTAGTTTTAGAAATTTTTAAAATATTATTTATTTTTATTTTATGTGTGTGCATGTATTGCCTGCATGTAAGTAAGTGCACCCGTGTCGTGCAATGCCCACGGAGGATAGAAGAGGCTGTTGGATCCCCTGGAACTGGAGTTAGGGACAGTCAGCTGCCACGTGGGTGCTGGGATTCAAACCCGGGTCTTCTGCAAGAACAGTGTTCTTAACCACCGAGCCATCTCTCTAGCCCCAGAAATAATTTCAATTTAATTTTAGGTACACGAGTGTTTTGCCTCCATGTATGTAAGTGCACCTCCTGTGTGCCCATGGAGGCCAGGAGAGGGAGTCAGATGCCCTAGAACTGAACTTAGAGATGGCTGTTAGCTTCCATGCATGTGCTGGAAACTAAACAGAGGTCCTCTGCAAGAACAGCCAGTGCTCTTACCCACTGAGCCATCTCTCCAGTCCCTGCCTTTGTGTTTTTTATATACACTTAAAAGAGGAATGTTGCAGGGTATGGTGGTGCATGCCTTTAATCCCAGTAGTCGGAAGGCAGAAATAGGCAGATGAGATCAAGGCCAGCCTTGCCTATATAGCAAGTTACCCTGTCTCGAAATAAAGGAAAAAAAGGAGGTGGGAAATCTCTTCTACACCTGCAAAAAACTTGCTAGTTTTTCTGTTTGTTTCTATTGCACCCTGGGGCTCTCCTCATGTGTTAGGTAAGTGCTCTGTCCCTAGGCACACTGCTGGGATTTCAATAGCAACTGTGTTATTATGTCAGTTTGGGGAGAACCAATGTCTGCCACCTTGAATTTATTGAAAGCAATTTAAAATTTTTTTCTAATACTCCGAGGCTTTCAATACAGACCATCACATCGTCTGCAATGGGAGCAATTTTATTTCGACTTTTCAGCTGTATGTCTTTTCTTTTCTTTTATTTTCTTGCCTAAAGTCATCTTTGAAAGCGCCTGTGTTATGCTGAATACATTGGCATCAGCAGCCACTCTGTGGGGCTCCTGACACAGGACACAGCCAGCCTCTCACAAATAATGAAGACATCAGCTGTGGGCTCCTTGTGGTAGCTACTCTACATTAAATTGAAGAAGTTGGCCTGCTATTCCTCTTTTTTGAGGTCTTATCATGCAGGACTGTTGTCAGTAGCTTTTTCAGCATCGATACAATCATGAATTTTCCTGCACTAACCTGTTACTATAATTTGGCAGATTATGTTCACAGGTTTTCTAATAGTGAACCAGTCTTATACCTCTAGAGAAATTCCACTTGGTTACGATGTGGGATTCATTCTGCCCAACTGTATACACTAATGTTTCAAGGTGGACTTTCATGTCTACATTCCACTGGTCTCTGTTTTTCTGGTTTTACCTTTGGACTTGTGATTAGTTTCATAAAATGGGTTGATAAGTATTCTCATCTATTTTCTGAAAGAGCCTGTGAAATTGGCTTTAATTCTCTAAATGCTTGGCAGAATTCTCTAGTGAAACCATCTGGGTCTGGAGTTTTTAGGCACTTTATAATGTTATCATTTAATTCTCGTAAGGGTTGTAGGATCATCCAGGTTATCTTGAACTGTAGTAGTTTGTGTCTTTTGAGGAAAACCTACTGCAGTTAAGACACATTTGTGCTTCCATTCTAGATCCTGTCATGTTGACAATCATAGCTACTTAATCTCTGTCAGAGAACTCCAACACGTTCTCCCACTGCTGGCATCAACTGTCATTTTCATCATTTGGTTTGAGGTCTTCCTGGTTCACAGAACGACAAGGAATTTTTTAAATGAAACTTGGACAACTTGGATTTCATGTTATCAGACTCTGCATCTTAGGTCAACTTTCTGTCTTGGTTTTTTATGCTACCACTCCAGCAGCGGAGAGGAAGCGCACACCTTTTTTGCTGCCAACTGGGGAGGAAGTTCAGGATCCCATTCAGCTTCCATGGGTGCTTGAGGTGATAGGGGCTCTTCATTTCTAATGGGCTGGGGTGGGTACTTTAGCTCTCTACCCAGCAGCTGAAGAGGGGGCCCATTACCATTCCTTACGTGCCTTTCCCAACCTCACCATTGCCTTCACAACACGACTGTAGTCAAAATCTTAGCTCATATTTACTTTTGCCGATGTATGGGAGGGCATACTTTTTTCTGTGGTGGTGTTCGGCTGGCACAGAGGACTTATTGTTAAAAGTATTGTGCCTTGGGGTGGTAGGGGTATGGCTCAATGGCAGAGTGCTTGTTTAACTTTCATGAGGATAGCCCAAGTATGACCACACACAGAAACAGTGTTCTGCCTTGCTGGGCTGCCCTTCCTGGTCTTTTGGTTACAGACAGCACCCACCTTTCATTGATTTTTTTTTTGTTGGAACTTCATGCCTATTGCTGTTATCTAGGCTGTCATTTTCATCTTCAGTCTCAAGTCTAATATATACAAGACAAAAGAACGTTAGCCAGACATGGTGGTACATATTGTAATCCCCCAAGTTTGAAGCCAGGCTAGGCTACAAAGTGAGACCTTGCTTAAAAAAAAATTTAATAGAGGTACACACACACACACACACACACACACACACACACACACGCATCCACAATTTAAAATAAAATACCTTAGACTTTGAAGGAAGAAAAGTGATTTGCAATTGGAAAATGGGCTTTCAGTTTTTATTTTCTACATTGTTCTTTTGCTTACATAATGATCAGGTCACTTAACAACTAGATTTAAAAATGGACTTATAATATTGACAAGTACTCACTCCATTTGACTCTAGCAAGCAGTCTGAGAAACAACTTATTCTGCAGCTTGTTGAAGGCTTGCTTATGCTAGTGTCCCTTGGTTAGCCAGGGTTGTTTAGGAGGCTGAACCGCATCCCCATACGCCATAAACTCCTGCAGAGCTATGCTCACTCTGTGGAGAGACAACTGGTCCCTTTGACTACTCAGACTGAGGTTACTACTCTGTAGTACGTGCTTCATACAGAACGTAGGTGTAGGAAAAGGTTTCTGCTCAGCTAACGAATGGATGTTTTCAATAGCGCTAACCATGTAAGAGAGCCAGACAAAGATCTCAAGCCCTCTCTCCTCTCATCCAACTCACACCAGGCAACTCAGGGCTCAATAGATGAATCTGCAAGTGCTAGCTGGCTCAAACAGGAATCTAGTCAACATCCAGAAAGTCAAAGCAAGTCTTTGAGCCCTTTTAGAAACTACATGGAACATTCACTACTCCCAGCTGGGAAACAAAGTAATGCATCTTTGTAGGAGACACACAGCAACCTCCTGGCTTTAATCTCCTAAGGATAATGTCTCACAGTCCCACCCACACAGCCTCATGCTGTGGCCCTGTCACCTAAGCTGTCTGTTGTCTTCCTATTTTAAAAGGTGAAAGGAAGTTAAGCACAGACTCACTGTATGACCAAGCAATTCCATGTCTAGGTATATGCCCAATGATCCTGTACCTGTATGTTCTTAGCAGCAATATTTACAATGACTACAAAGCCAAACAGCCCAAATGTCTATCGGCAAATGAAGGGATAAACCAAACACAGCACACATGATAGCCATTATTCACCCATAAAAAGGCATGAAATTGTGATATATGCTATAATGTAATGAATCCTGAAAACACATGCTAAAGTGAGGTGAGCCCACATAGCACAGGATTCCATTTCTATGAGGTACCTACACAAAGTCAGAGCTAGGAGGCAGAACAGAGGTTACCAGAACCCTGGGGAAGAGGAGAATAGAGAGCCTGTTTAATGAGCATGGAGTTTTACTTTGGAAAGCTAAAGAAAATGTTCTGGACACAGACAGTGATGGCGACATGCTTCATGCCCCAGAACTTCATACTTAAAATGGTGAACTCATCACAATGAAAAAAATGTGAAAAACACAACTATGAGACGAAAATGGTTTGTTTCTTCCTAGAGTGTACAACATCTACAAAGAAGGAAACGGCACGCAATGATCGGCCACATTCCTGAACTAGAGCGTGTAGTCATTTTCTGGAATACAGTACCATGAAAGGAAACCGTCTCACATTAACGATGAAACCAGACAGCCAGTGATAAAGTAATTACGAGCACACTTTTTATAAAGCTTTGTTTAAATTCAACCCAATTGGTCAATCTGTTCACATGAGATTTATAGGTATTTGTATTCTTTATGCCATTAAGAAAACAATTATCTTTAAACTTGAAGATTCCTTGTATCAGTCACCACCTTTGGTTCTGGTTCAGAGAAAACAAATTTGGACATATCAACCTTTGAGTACTGACAATATGGAGAGGGCTTCCAGCAAAGTGTCTGGTCTTCACTGATACAAGTGATTGGACATAGCAAGTGGATATTGTCTAAAATATGTCCCCAAGGTCTGGAGAGATGGCTCAGCAGTTAAAAGCACTTGCTGCTCTTGCAGAGGACCTAGATTTGGGTCCCAGCACCCATATGGCGGCTAACACAGCTGTCCATTAACTCCAGTTCTGGGGGATCAGATGCCCTCTTCTGGTAAAAATACTCATGCACATAAAACATTTTTAAGTGCTCTGGAAGACAAATGATACAGAGTCTAGTAGTGTGTACAGGTGTTACTTCAATTTTAGTTAAGAAAATTAAGAAATAAAATTCACTTGTCTTCCTCATAGAGAAGAAAGCCACATCTCACTGTGCCAGGCTCTACCAGAAGTCAAACTGTGCACTCATGTAACTGGCTTTTGGTTTTGATGGCTTTTTTTTGTTGTTGCTTGTTTCTTTTGAGACAGGGTCTTGCTATATAGTTCAGGATAGACTTAAACTCAAGATCCTCCTGCTTTAGCTTCCCAAGCACTGGGAGTGCAGGCAGGCAACACCACACCCAGCTGTGGCTGTTCTTTCAAAGCTCCCATGCTTTATACCAGCTGCTGACAATAGCACCAGACGCCTTGAAAGGCTCTGACCTGCCGCCAGGTGCTGAGCAGCACAATGAGTGCCATAAACAGGATGTCTCAGCAAGGAAGTGTCTGCCAGGGATCAACAACAGCTCCCATCCATCTGGAAACCTAAGGCAGATTTTGCCTAACCAGAGAAATGAATCAGCAGCCAAAAGGCTGAGGCTCTCACCCTACCCCCATCCAGGACTAGGTGACTTAAGGCAAGACACATTCTAAGCCACTGTGGCCCGGGCTCTGATACTTCTGAGAAATGAGGGCATGGGTCTGTCCTTAGTTCCAGGGCTACTGCAGGAAATTCACAAAGCAGCACACTCACCACTCTCTAGTAAATGAAAGCAGAAACTGTTTCTTAAAGCTTCAGAGTCACAAGACAGATGATTACAAACAAACAGAATTTCAGGTTAACAAACAGAAAAACATGTGACAAAGATGGCCTGGGGGATCCCTCATTCCTTTCGAGTGTATATTTGTGTGTGTGCCTGTGCACGGTGGCTAGTCAGTGTAGTCTTCTTCAGTCACTGTCCGCCTTATTCGAGACAGTGTCTCACTAAAACTGAAGCTCACTGATTCAGAGAGACTGGCAGGCCAGCAAGCCCTAGAGATCCTCCCATCTCTGCCCACCCAGTGCTGGGATTATAAGGCTGCAATGGAAAACCTGGTTATTTACATGGGTGCTGGGGAATATGAACTCGGGTCCCCATACTCACACAGCAAGCACTTTATGAATTGAGCCACTCCCTCACTCCCGCCCAGGCCCCTCCAGTCTTGAACCTCTGAGATCATTCCTCCTGAAGCCAACCCCAGAAACAAGCCTCAGATTCAGTAAGACTAGCACTTACCTCTGCCATAGGCCCTGGCTTTCTTTGGGTTGAGTTTGGGTTTAAGAGGAGCACCTGGCTTGAGCTTGGCTTTGGGGAATTGGGACAGGTAAGTCATCACGGAGTGCTCATCTACATCAGGGTGAATAATTTCCTCAGGAGTGATGACCTAAATAATGAAGAATATGGTGGGTGAATGGTGACCTGTCACTTTGCAACCACTGAAGTTTATGCAAATCTCTCTTAAACCAAATGAGTAAGACATTCAGTCAGCTTCTCATTTAAGAGAAATTATATTAAGTCACAACAACGAGATCAGTGTTCTGAATACAAATGTGTCACCGACACCTTTGGAAGCTGTGAGACTCTCTCCAGAGAATTCTGCATGTGATTTCTAGATTAATACCACCCCCTCCAAAAGACTCCATTCACTCCCCGGGTCATATATTCTAGAAAGGAAAAAGGAAGGAGGTACAGCAGGTCAGGAGGGAGAGGAAGCAAGCACATACAATATTATAAAATTTTTAAATATTTTATCTGTTATTTTTATTTTATGCATGAGTGTATGCCTGCATGTGTATAAGTGCACTGGTGTCAGTGCAATGCCTGAGGAGGTCAGAAGACACTATCTGGATGCCCTGCAACTGGAGTTACGGATGGCTGTTACTCAAGCACAGGTCCTCTGCAAGAGCAGCTGGTGCTCTTAACCGCTGAGCCATCTCTCCAGCCCAAAGGAAATATTTTTAAAAGCACGTGAATAGACCTCTTTTGCTCATCTATCTTGTATCGGCATCTAATTAACTCTACTCATAAAAACAAAATCAACTAAGAACCATGGTATACACCTGTAATCCCAGCATTTGGGAAGTTTGAGCAGGAGCTCAGCAAGTTTGAAGTTGGCCTGAGCTCCACAGTAAGGTCCTGTCTCAAAAACTAAACCAACCAACCCAATAGGGAACAACACAAACACGTTAGATATTTAGTGTCAATATATTAGGAGCCTTTACAAAATGCAGAGGAAGGCATTTTGCCTGACACTCAGCTTAGGAGCAAGGTTAGATCCAGGCTGGACAGGTGACCTTCCTAAAGTTATACCTGACACAGCCCCAAGAGCATGCAAAGCCTTCCCTGTTCCCAAGATGATGCACAGTGATGTGCCACACCTCCTGAGAATAGGAGGCTCTACTTCATGAGGCATGTTCATCAAATGCAATGAGCAGATGATAAAAAGCGCCAGAAACATTGTGATGATTAGTCTTCGGGAATAAAATAGCTACTGAGGTTTGAACCACTGTCTATAACATAGTCTGCTAAAAGCAGGATTTGCATTGATTTGGCATTTCTTCCCAGCGACTCCTGTGACAATTTTACAGAACCAATATCCTCTGACTATCCAAAAGTGATGGGCTGAATGTGGTGGCACACGCCTTTAATCTCAGCACTCAAAAGGCAGAGGAAGGTGGATTTGAGTCTGAGGCCAGCCTGGTCTACATAGAGAGTTCCAGGCCAGCCAGGGGTACATAGCAAGACCCTGTCTCAAAAAACAAAACCAAAAACTCAGAGTAACACCAACAACAAAAGTGATGTTTCAGGTTAAAAGGCAGAGGCACATACCATGCTACTGCTTGAGAGTGAATGATCCAAGAACAGTCATAGAGCAGAGACATAACTCCAAAACTAAACCCAAGAAACAGGCATGCTTTCCTACTTCCCAGGAAATCCTAAGGAATGCACTGAACTCAGCTCTGAACACCAGCTCACCTTTAACAGAGCCTACAGTAAGACCCTTAGTCCTACAGATCCCACAGGACAGATGATCTACAACACCCCTTTGACCATGGCTTTAACCTCAGGATTCATGGTGCTGTTGGGGGGGGGTTAGAATGAAAACACTGGTTTTCCACCTTGCCAGGAAACCCAGGTTTCAGTTAAGCAATGGCTACTGTAGATGTTATTGTTGACGATTATCCAAAGTTCAAGTCTTCTTGTTATTCCTGTGATAGGGTTATAGGTAATACAAATTCTTCCACAATTTCCATTAACGGGGGTTATTCTTATTTTTAAAAACAGTTCAAAGTCCTATGATTTTCTCTAAAATACTGGATTAAAATCACCTTTGTTTTATATAGATGAATTTTTTGGGGTCTTGAGACAGAGTCTCCCTGTAGCCACAGCTGGCCTGGATTCACTATAGAGACCAGGCTGGCCTCGAGAACTCACAGAGATCCGCCTGCCTCTGTTTCTGGAGTGCTGGGATTAAAGGTGTGCGCCACCATGCCTGGCTTGTATAGATTTTTTTTAAAAGAGGGTAAAATACTGGCAATTATTTATGACTCAACCTGAGAGTTAAGAACCATGCTTGCTGACTGGGCTTTAAAGATAACCTTCAAAATATTTGGAACTGAAATAGAAAGTTTGTGGTGGCACACACCTGTAATCCTAGCACTCCAGAGGCTGAGGCAGGAGAATGAGGAGGTCAAGGCCAGGCTGGGCTACCTAGTAGTAAGAGAAGACAGGAGAGAAGAGGAGGGAGGAGAGAAAGGGGGGAAGGGAGGGATAGGGAGGAGTATGGCAAGGAGGGAGGTGGAGAGGGAGGGAGGGAAGGAGAGGGGAGGGAGGGGGAGTGGCAAAGAGGGAAAAAGGGAAGGGAGGGACGGGGAGGGGTGTGGTGAGGAGGAAGAAGAAAGGAGGGAAGAGGAGAGAAAGGGAGGGACAGAGAGGAGTGTAGTAAGGAGGGAAGAGGAAGAGAGGGAGGGATGGGGAGGGACTATATAAGCTCCTAAATCCATGAGAACCCATCATTATGTATCAACTGAGGGAGGTGGAGAGTACCAAGGGCAATGCTCTTTAAAGGCTAAATGCCAAGAAGGTCAGACTATGGCCTAACCCAGAAAGGCATCCGGTCTGCCGACTATAAACCAGTGGGTGAGAGCAGGTCTCATGGGACATGGCATGTGTATGTGTGTATATATATACCTGTGGGACACCCAGCCAGTCATCGGCCTGCTGCATGGCTTCTCGGGCATTATCCACAGGCTTTCGTGGGTCCCAGGATTCCCAATCTGGGCATAGACCTGTTTATAACACACAAAAGAAATTTTTAACATTAGTGAATGAGAGATTGAAAGACTCCATGTGCTGAAAACTAACCCATTTGGTCTTTTAACTCAGAGAACAAGTTCTGTCAAAAGCTCAACTAACCATATATTTGATATGCAAAAATTCGGACAGGAGTATGGCAAACTATTCCACATTAGCAAAGACTGCTACCTTCTGGCATTAAAACAGGGATCAACCATTCCTTGGAGAGCTACTAAAACAAACAAGGTCTATATGACCATTTGGGCCTGGTGCCTTTTTTCAGAAAAGCTTTTTTTTTAATCCTAAGCCTGGATATATCTAAAAAGATTAAGCTAGCATTCCATGTCTTTAAAAATTGCACTTCTTCAAAGGCACAATCCAAGAATCATTTTAAAGCCCTTTGTAAGTACAAGTAGTATAGGATGGAAGTAAAATCCCCCGATTTAATGATGGAAAAATTAAAGACCATAAATTGTGTCTTTAAGAAGAAATAAGAAGAGGGCACTAGGTAGGAATTGAACCAATGCTATTTATTTTTTTAAACTGAATTTTAAATTACATTTATTTATTTACTTATTTATTTATGTATGTGTGTGTGAGTGTACCTGAGAACCCATCATTATGTATTAACTGAGGGTGGTGGAGAGTGCCAAGGGCAATGCTCTTTAAAGGCTGAATGCCAAGAAGGTACATGTGAGCATGCATGTACCGTGGCATGGGTGTGGCAGTGAAGGGACAACTTGCAGGAGTCTATTTTCTCTTTCCACCATGTGGGTCCCAGGGATTGAGCTCAGGCGATCAGGCTTGGCAGCATACCTTTACCGACTGTGCCATCTCACCGGCTCTAATGCTATACTTTGACGTCTTCCAAGGTAATGTCAATTTACAGGCTCTCCAGGAAGAAAGAAGCCTTGAAGCAGCCCTTCTTTTCCACCTGAGTAATATTAGCTAGCTCTGCTTTGAGCATAGTGAGAATTACTACCTAATACTAATGTCCCCATCTCATATATAATACTCACTAGATGGAAAATATAATTACAGTAAGTGGGTTTTTCAATAAAAATTAATTTGGGGGGGGCATATAGACAGTGGCTCTAGTTTTTCTATTGAATACGTGCTTGCAAACTCTACCCATCAATCTAAGCCTTCTCGTGAGGGTAATTACATATTGGTGTCCACTGGACTACTCAGGAAAAGCTCATCTAGGGTGGAAAAGGCTCCAACTGGATCCTGACCAAGTGCTATTCCACAGCAACACAGAAAGAAAAGGGCAGAGAAGGCCATATATAGTCAAGCTAGTAGTTAATAAAAGGTCATTTCCACTCAATTGAAGGTTTTAGATTCTCATGCCAAGCCACTGGAGAGGGCCACATGCCTCTGCTGAAACCAACAGGAAACTAGGCACCGTGTGGGAAGACAGAGGACTGGCGTATAGATGCTTACCCCAAAGCCTGCTCCAAGCTCAGGCACCAAGGCGTCATTGGGGATTAGGATAACCTGGCCGGATTCAACGGTCACACATGTATGTGTGTATGCCTAGCCTTCAAAAGGGTATACAGAACCATTTTAAATTCCATTATTCATCCTAAAATGGATTAAAACCAGGGAGTACAGACCAGTCACGGCCAAGTGAACTTTCTCACTGAAATCCAGGTGTGAGGCTTGTACACTCCCAGTTGGGGAGGTGGTTTAGGCGACTGCAGATGCTTACCTGGAGCACAGCTGTCGACCAGGGCACCCAGGGCTTTGCCATCTTGCCAGTTCTGGTTAAAGTTGGTGATGGGCAGGTACGGGATCTTGTTCTGAATCCATCCCAGTAGCCTCTGCTTCGGAGTCTGCTTCTTGGCATCATCATCCCCTTCGTCTTCCCATACAGGCATGGAGATGGAGTAGTGAAGGATCAAAGTCCACACCAGGCCCAAGATGAGCTTCAGGTTTCCATCCACAATGGCTTTACTGTCTGGGAAGATGCGACACCGGCTCCGTCATTATTCTGGGTTTACACAAGACAAATGTGAGCTCTAAAGAAGAGTGGAATCCTCATCCGCAGGGGACTGAACTGAGCTACTTCAGAGTGAAAGGATGCAATGTAGATTTGCTCAGAATGCTGGAGGACCAGAACAGACGGCTACAACAACGTTCCAAAGTGCTATTACCTGTTGCCTTGGCTCGTGGGAATGCATTTTATTACTGTCCCTACTTTTCTCCATGTTTAAAACTTTCCATAATAATAATAATAATAATAGGCTTCTTAAAATTTAAAGAACTTGAGATTTGAAACATGGTGGGTGACACAGACCAGCGACAAACTAATACCATAGAGAGCCCTTGGATCTCATCAGGTTGAGTCTGGAGGATCAAACACACACACACACACACACACACACACACACACAAAAGAAAACAAACAAACAAACAAACAAGAGAACACGTGGAGGAAGGTAGCATGCGTAGGGCTAGCACTGAACACAATACTGGGAGATGGAGAAGAAACGGACTACGATAAAAATTGGAGACACATAAATTAACGGAATGGAATACCCCAATGTTCTTTGTCCAGAAGGATATTTTTCTAGTTGCCACTTCATTGAGGGTTGGCTGGAACTTGGAGTAGACAAAAGTATAGACATTCAAAGAGATAAGCCTGCATCTGTAACTTGTCCTCTGATCTTTAAGCATGTGCACCTACATATACACACACGCATTCCCCCCCAAAACACAAATAAGTAATTGTAAAAATATATTTAAAAAGAAAGGATCTAGGCTTTTTCCATTTTGAAATGTGTCCATTTGTAAGCAATCCGTAACCTCTTAAGCTAATTGGCATTTTTATTTTTCTCCAACCCTTCAGTAAATATAATCACTATGGTGTTCTTTTTCAGGAGTTGGTCTGTCTCAGTATTTATAGTTAGTTTCTGATTGCTTTTCTTTACATTAAAATTGATGTTGCCTTTCTTAAAGAAAGTAGTTCAGAAATATAGACAATAAAAGAGGAGTCTACGTCCCCAAAATAACAATCACCTAACCTGGTGCTGTACAGTCCTTTAGACTGTCTGGCATGTCTTAAAACTACTGCCTCGTTTGCTGTCCTGGTTTTATATTATTCTACACAAGCAACTGTAAAGCTATTTTTCCAATACTAATTATGTCCTAGTCATCTCTTCTCTATAAAAACTTGTTTCTGTTTACATTCCTATCTACAGGTTTAAGGGCCAGCTTCCCTTTAATCCTACTAATGTTGAGCTATCAATCTGTCCTTTGCTGTTCTACAAGTCGCTCATTCAGAAGATAGTTAGGCTATGGCAATTAGACAAAGTCTCTGTTGCCAGGAGGGTGGTGACAAGCCAAGTCAGGGCTCCTTTCTCATCCCACCCTGGCTTAACAGAGCTTACCATTGCCCTGGCCAGTCCTGCCAGCTCTGCTCTCATTTTCATTCCTCTAAGACAATTTCTTGCAATGTAGCTTGAGCTAGCTTTGAACTTGGGATCTTCCTGTCACTGCCTGCTGGGATTATGGGCATGCACTACCATGCCTGGCTCTCTGTCCTTCTACCTTCCACCTGCACCCACCAAAATTCGAGCACTATCTTTCCCGCCTCACTAAACGCCATCCATTTTCTCTCCAAACATTACCCTTTTTCTACTGGGACCCCAAGCTGAGAAACATCAGAACTCTCCTGGGCTTCCCCTTTAAGGCTCTGGTACAGTTTGCAGTGTGTCGTGTCTTCCTATTAAATCTCTTGGCAAATCTTCCTCTGAACTTTGCCAAAAACAAACAGCTCCTTCTCTCCACTCCTGGCACCTCTGAGAGCTATGAAGCTCAATTTCTGTTCCCATAGCCCCAGTGCCACCTTTCTTGTCAGGCGCCTTTGTTCTTCCAAACTCACTGATGGTCCCCACTGTCCAGTCAAAATCCTTAAACACACAGAACCTATACAAGCTCCTACGAGCCAGCCTGATCCAAGATGACAGCTTGTTCTGCATCCCAGGATTGCTTCTGAGCTCCCTTGTAGTATAGTAGGGCCTTTCATCCTACCTTCCTATGGGATGCACCTGGGCACATCCCAAGGCTGGTGGTATTACACTCCCACCAGCATGCATGCTAGACTCCTTTCCCTTGATATCAGGACCATCTGCCAAATTCTCTGCTTCCCAACTTCATGCTAGAACTGAGGGGAGTAGTAATTGAGCCTTCTTCACCCTGTAGTTGTTCCAACAACTGCACCCAACATTAGTTAATACACACCAAATTGCCTATGTGTCTAGTATGTCTAGTCAGGATAGTGGTGACCCAACACAATCGAGACATCAATGTCTTGTACCATGAGGACTAAAGTCTCCTTCTACCACAGGTCTAAGTCTATAAAACTCAAACTTCCCAAGCCATGTTATATGCTTTTCAAACCCAAACCAGCATGCCTGACGAACACGTTTAAGGCACAGGGTTCGATCTCTAGCACTGCAAGAAAAAAAGGCAAATAAACTGGGTGTAATGGCACATTTCTGAAATCCCAGCACTTAAGAGGCTGCAGGAGGATCATCCCAAGAGCCCAAACTAGCCTGGACTACATAGCAATACACAAACACACAAATAGAGAAATAAAAACAAAAAACCTTACAGACTTAACATACAACTCAAAACCTGAAAACAGCTGGTTCTATTTTTAGCCAGTTTACACATGTTGCTATAAAGGAGTGAGCAAGCCTTTTTGAGAGTCTTTTTCAAAAAGGTTTTGGGGAAATACGACCTGGTTAAAGTCTGAGCCAAACTTATGAAATATATAAGGCCCTGGACTTCTGTTTCCAATGAATTCAAGGTGGGTGTCCTAACAGGAAAGCCCCTTTTACAGCCTCCCTGGGATAAATGATACCTCCATTCTGCTGTTCTAAGAAGCTGGGGGGGGGGGGAAGCACAGGCTTCATTCCAGAAGTGATTTTGACAGGTGAAGGTTCAAATGTTTAACTGAGCTCTTGGAACAATAAAAAGATGGGAGACTTGCCCAAAAGGCCTCCCCAGTTCCCATCCACAGGAAACAGAAGACTCCCTAGGCCTTGGAAAAGGAAACCCTACAGAGTGTCCCAGAGTCTGACCATCACTGTAGACTACAACATTCTTAGACCTGGTGTGCTGCACAGTGTTGATGCTGATGGTAACAGGCAGAGGCAGAAAGTTAAAAGGAAAAGGCTCAAGCAGCCAGACAAGCTGCACAGTAAGAGCTGCTTGAGGGCCTCTTTTAGGAATAAAACAAACCGACGCCCAGCTTGCCTGCCCAACCGCCTAGACTCAGCTTGGATTTCTGTGGGCTGGAACCTGGCCATGGCCTTCTCCTCCCCAAAGCTAACCAATCCCAATTCCCACATAACTACCCTGGCTCTTGACAGCACTGACCCTCAAGCCACACACACTTTCTCAAACTACCTACAATTACCTAGTTGCTTTTAAATGAAGGCACTGCCCCTTTTTTTTTTTTTTTTATGGCTAGAAAGTTAATTTAAACTACTGCCAATTTTAGGATGGAATATCTTTTACATCAACTTCTGTGTATCAGCTCTTTAGTTAAGGAACGTTTGTATGTTTGTATGTGGAATAGTGGCAATTATGGGGTGAGTTCCAGCTATTTTTAGCACTTTCCAGAACCACCTTTGAAATGCTTCCATTACTTTTATCTGCATTTATTTTATGCTCAATTTATTCTCATGCCATAAGTTTTTGTTTCTTCAGTTTCTTCTGGGATTTCTTTTTCTTTTGTGCAACTTCCTCTTCAGGCTTAGGAACAATTTGTTCCTTTTCAGTGAGGATCATTTCGATATGGCAGGGGGAGCTCATGTATGGTTAATGTGACCATGAGATCTGTAAGTTCTGTGGTGCATCTTGGGCGATCTGTTCACCTGGACATGCTCAATGACCAGAGAGTCTACATCTAAACCCTTAAGTTCAGCATTACTTTCTGCATTTCTAAGCATGTGCAGACAAAATTCAGCACCCTTTTTGGGCCACCAACCTGTGTCCAGCCCCACTGTTTGGCCTGGGCACACCTACCAATTCCACTGTTACAACGCCGGAATGGCACACACTGCTTCTTTAAAGTGACATCTTTCAGATACTTGGTGGCTTTTCAGATATGCATACCCTTGATGGCCTAGGCAGTTTCACATGTGTTCTTAAAGTGACCATGAAGGTTGGAACCTCTTGATTTGCATGATTTTGTAGGGTTTTCTAGGTCAAGAGAGGAAAGAACCATTTTCACAGGTCACTTCGGTGGCTTACTTAAAACAATATTTTATTTATTATTTATTTTACTTTATATGTATGAGTGCATTGTCTGCATATATGCCTGAGGAGGTCAGAAGAGTGTGTTGTGAATTCCCTGGAACTGGCATGATGATGGTTGTTAGCCAGCATGTGGGTTCTGGGAACCAAATGAGTGTCCTCTGCAAGAGCGGTCAGTGCTCTTAACTGCTAAGTCATCTCTGCAGCCCCTGATATGCCCCCTTGAAGGACTACTTCTCCAGAGTTGGAGGTAGTGGCCTTTCTCCACTCTCACCTTCAAGAGCCAGATCCACACAACTGTGTCTACCATATCCAGCACTGTACCATCAATGGAGTTCCCAAAACCAACTGAGGCACCTTCTCATTTGCTGCCAGTGATTGAGAAGGGTATCGGGGGGTAGTAAACCACAAGAAATAGGAACAGGTTATCCTTTGGTCACAATGTAGCTGGCGGCAGAGCCTTAAACAGCCCACAAGTGACTCTAGGAATCAAGTCAGTGTGTATGCTAAGGACACCCACCAGGGCTACACTCTGTAATATGACAGAACAGAATGCCATGTGCTGTGCTCCCTGCCCACTCAGTAATGTTATCTGCTGGGGGCAATGTGGCAGGGCAGTAACCAGAGCAGGCTGTGGCACTTCTCAAAAGGTACAACTGGCTAATAAATACACGATGCTCCACATGCTTAGCCATTAGGGAAATGC